TATAATCAAATTTTGATTGATCATGATTAATTGCTTTTTAGCAATGCAGTTTAGCATGCAGTATTTAGTCATACCGTGCGATATGATATTTACTGTATTTTGTATTTATCGCGGCTAAATCGCAATCGCGCCACTATGAATTCTGGGTTAAAAAAATAAACATTAGGGAACCCAAATATAAATTGTATATTTTTAATAAATAAAGGAAAAATCATGCGAATATTGGTAATTTTCGTTCAATAAGAATTAGGAGCAAGTAAAAAAATGTTTATTTTTTTGAAAAATAAAAGTTTTTATATTTTATCTTATTTTAGTTTTTACCTTTTATTTTTTTAAATAAAAAATTTCTTCTTTTTCAAAAACATTAATTAATTTAAAACTTGGATGATATATACCCACCTTTTTTTTTAATATATTTTTTTTATAGTCCTTTTTAATGTCTTCATAGATTATATATATATTATATATTTATTTTTTTTATATTTAATTTTTAATATATCCATTTTAATATATATTTTTTAATCCTCTGTAAATTATATGAATTATTTTATAATATTTTTTTTTAAATAATAAAAAAGTCGAATAATTAAAAAAAAAAATATCTAATAATAACAAAATTGTGTTAATGAAATTTTATTAAAAATTATTTAGTTCATAAAATTTTTATAAAGTTATTGTTTATTGAAAAAGAAAGACCAAACCCAATTTCACAAAACTTGAAAAGAAAAAAAATCAAAACATGAGTCAAAATCAATTATAAAGTCTATCATTAATTTCAATGTTTAAAATAATCACATAATTTAATAAATATATATTAAAAATAATATGTATTCTGTCTTATTAAAAATTATCCGAATCAAAATATTTAAAAAAACAGGGAAGAAGGGGGAGGGGTGGCTTTTATAATTTAGTACATGATCATTTTACACACAAACAAAGATGAATTCCTTTATTTATTAATCTTAACTAATGTCTTTAACACTAGTGGTAAACTTGACGCTTCGTCACTGCATTTAACAACATTTGTTATCGCGGGTCTAATTTTCATATAAACAATTATTTATATATAATGTCAATTTATTTTTTTTAAATTTTGTGATTGGTTTAAAACAAAGAAAACTTTATTATTAAAATTCACAACGCCAATCAATTTTTTTATTAAAGTTTTTCCATTTTTTTGAGAAGGACTTTCTTTTTTTAATTTATACTTTGGAATTAATATTTCTTTTTTAAAAAAATTATTCTCAAAAAATTTATGCAGTTGGATTAAATAATTTTTTTTGAAAATATATATATTTGAATTTAAAAATTTTTTTATATATTTTATGTATTCCATTTTTGAAGAAAATATAGTATTTTAAATTTCAATTTTAAAGTATCCATAATTGGAAAGTAATTGAGTTAACTATATTTCAGAGGAAGTTCTAGGTCTTTGTTAGTAAGTATCAGTTTTTTTGATTGAAGTTCATTTTTTTAAAATTATATCAAGTCACTGGCCTTTAAAATCTTATAGTGTTCAAAAACTATCGTTTTTACTCAATCTTTTTAGATACGATTTTTGAAATACTCATAGCTAATATTTTTAAAATTACTTTTTTAGAGGCATTTATAAAAAAAATAAAAAAATTTTTGGGGCTCCTTAAATTTTATAGTGATAGCGCTCCTATATGGAGCCCCCATCTCCCAGTGATGATACTATGGGGCACATTGTAAGGGTGTTGTTTCCAATTTTTTCACTTTAATATAGACGCTAGGCTCATCAAAATTAGTGCATTGAACCAATATCTGAAAGCTATTTCGATAATTGTTTTATACAAGCTCAAGAATTCAAAATCAAACTGATAACCTAAGGCAATTAGAATATGTCAGGGGCATCGCTAGCCTTTACAATCTAAGGGGGCTCAACTAAAAAATTTTTTATGTCGGCCCACTTTTGCTTGGTCGGCCGGGTTATATATTAATATATTATACTTTATTAAAATTTGTTATTTCTGAACAATTATTCTGAATTTCATATTTGTCATTTATTATATTATGCATACAAAATAAACTGGCATATAAATAATTAAAACAATACAAGACATTCTAAAAATAATATTTTTTAATACAAAATCTATTTATTACAGTATAAAAAATTTTCGATTGCTGATATAAAATACGTCTAAAGAATTACAAGTGATAAAAAAGATTAATTAATGTATATGCCTCAATTGATAATGGTTTTTTAAAACAACATATTGCAATAATATAATTCTTAGCAACTTTCATTAACAAAAGGTTATCAAACTAATATAACTCTATGTTACCATTTTAGACAATGTTTTATTGAATGGACTAATAAGGAAAAATTTATAGGCCTAAACCAAATCAACATTTTTGAAGAAGAGAGTATAAACGACCAATCCAAATCATTAAACTATATGGTGGTTAGAGCTTCCTTTTAGATGACATGATGGAAGCTAGATAAGTAATCGAGAAAATTATAGTGAGATATTGTTTTTCTAAAATTATCTTCCATTTTTAATGATATATAAACGACTACACAGTTGACCATTATTGCTTATCTGAAATATGCGATCATATGCTCTCAGCAGCTGTAGTAATAATCTTAAATTACATAGCCACACAAATAATAGATGCTAGTTAATTAGTAGTCCTAGCCATGACACTCACGATGGTAACCCATATCAGAATTTATTCTGTTAGATAAATTGATAAAACAAAAACACTAGAAACCTTTAGAAGAAATTATGCAAATATATTGAAGCCTTGAGTTATTTACACGGCAAAAATGCCATAGAAACATTTTGTAACTACAAAATAAGAACCAGAGTGATATCATGAAAGTAATTAAGATTTTATATATTATTGTCGCACCATCTCTAGTTGGTATATTATATCTTAAAATAATAGTAGTTTGTAATAATATTAAAATTATATTCGTATTAAAAATTTAACTCAAATATATATTCCGAAATAGCTTTCCTAAAAACACGTAAGAAAGGAGAAGAAAAGATATCAAATTTATTAATTTTTAAAATTATTTATAACTAATTAGAGGGCGTTAAATACTTGAATGCAATTTGTTATTATATTTATTATCAACCATTTATTAGTAAAATTTAAAAAAAATTAACTGTAATATATTATATAACTGTCAGATACGTCTGTAAAAGTGGCATTTTACCTGAGATTTTATAAAAAATTATATATAATAGAGGATTATAAACTATATGTCTACTTACTTTTTATAAATAAATCTCTTATACTTATTTGGATTTGGACCTTGAAAATAATTCTAGGAAGAGACATGATAATTAAATTTAAAAATCAATAATATAGTTGATTAGTTATTTTGAACTCGGCTAAAATATTAAATTATTAATTTTCAATTAATAAATGATTATATTTATTTAATTAGGGTTATATAATAATTTAAATAATAAAAGTCAATTAAGCTTCAACTGTTAATGCTAAATTAATATTTAGTGAGTAATATTGTTAAATTTTTAACATAGAATTTGATTACAAGCTGACATAGTATAATTTATACGTAATAATCTAATCTAATAATTAAAATAGTATTCATTTAATAAAAATTAAGATAGTCTTTTTAATAAAATTAAATCTATATATTACTCAATAAAATTATAAAAGAAATTATTCAGAGGGCAAAAAAACATTTATTATTATCTCAAGGGGATATTAATGAGCCATTAAAAAAAAAAATTTTGCTTCAGGGGGCTATTCAAACTTTTCAGGGGGCTCAAGCCCCACCGCCTCCTTTCTTAGGGATGCCACTGCTTGAAAATATTTTTATGAATAGGTATGATAATAAATTTTAAAAATAAATATACAGCTGATAAGTCATTTTGAACTCTGCTAATTACAATATTAAATTTTTTAGTTTTCAATTAATAAATGATTATATTTATTTAATTAGGGTTATAAAATAATAAATAATAATAGTCAATTAAGCCTTAACTGTTAATGTTAAATTAATATTTAGTGAGTGATATTAATATTCTATTTTTAACACAAAATTTGATTGCTAGCTGACATAGTAAAAATATAATTTATATGTATTAATTTTATCTAATATTTAAAATAATATTCATTTAATAAATATTAAGATATTATTAATTTTTAAATAATAAAATTAAATCTATTTTACTTAATAGAATTATAAAAGAAAACTTTAAGGGGACAATCAAAAAAATTTATATTTAGTTCAAGAAGTAAATATTCCATTAAAAAAAAAAAATTTTGCATCAAAGGGTTATTCAAATTTTTCAGGGGGCTCGATCACCTGAGCCCTTCCCCCTAACAACGCTACTGTAAATTAATATTTAGTGAGTTATTGATATTATGTTTTTAATACAGAATTTGATTGCAAGCTGACATAATGAAAATATAATTTATATCTATTAATCTAATCTAATAATTATTATTAATTTAATAAAAATTTAAATAGTCTTATTAATTACTAAATAATAAAATTAAATTTATACATTACTTAATGGAATTATAAAAGAAATCATTCAGGGGGCAATCAAAAAAATTTATTTTTAGTTCAAGGGGATATTAAGGAGCCATTAAAAAAAAAATTTTTGCTTCAGGGGACTATTTAAATTTTTCAGGGTGTGACTCTCGCCCCCCCCCCTAGCGACGCTACTGGAATAAGTATCTATTCGACTTGGGGGAAAGTGGTATACACATCTATCATTCGTTTTAGCAAAGGCTAAATGATCTACCAGCATCTCATAATTTCCTTCGTAGGTAATTTTATATTATAAATATGAGAATTTGTTAGAATTTCTTATTAAGTTATTTTAGCAATAAATAAAAATTCAGATAAATAATAGTAAAAAATGCTAAAAATGTTATATATATGTTTATACTCATAGATTATAAAATAATTTAATCTATTATTATAATGTTAATTATTATAGAATATTTATATATTTTCGATTAATTATTTTTTAACACATTCATATCATCGTTTAATTTGTATCATATTGTTTCCTCTTGCTAATAAGCTGCTATCTATATTATTTTAAGGAATGGGCCTTGACACCGAAAAAACTAGATGGAAAGCTAATTATTTTGGGAAATTAACTACTTCTTTTGATGAATATCCAAAATGTTTTTTAGTTACGGTTGATAATGTTGGTTCTAAACAAATGCAAAAAATCAGATCCTCTCTGAGAGGGTCAGCTGTATTGGTTATGGGAAAAAATACAATGATGAAAAAAGCGATGAGAAATCACCTCGAAAACAATCCAGATTTAGAAAAGTATTAAATTAATATAAATGTTAACTTAATTTATATAATTAGACTTATTCCTTTAATCAAAGGAAATATTGGATTTGTATTTACCAAAGATGATTTATCAGATGTTAGGGAAAAGATTAATGTTAATCAAGTTGCTGCACCAGCTAAAGCAGGTGCACATGCACCAGTTAATGTTACTATTCCTGCCCAAAACACTGGACTTGGTCCAGAAAAGACTTCCTTCTTTCAAGCTCTTTCAATTCCAACTAAAATTTCTCGTGGCACAATAGAAATATTAGTATAGATAAACAAATATTATAATATAATTTTATTAAAGAGTGATGTACCAATTATTAAAGTTGGGGATAAAGTGGGTGCAAGTGAGGCAACCTTATTAAACATGTTGAATATATCACCTTTTTCATATGGATTAGTTATTAAACATGGTATTTAATATTAAAATTTATATAAATTTTTAAATATTAAAGTTTATGATTCTGGTAGCATATTTGATGCAAAAATTTTGGATATTACTGAAACTGAATTACGTAGTAATTTTATGAAAGTAAATATAATTAACATTTCAAAACTTATCTATTATAGGGAGTTCAAAAAGTGGCAGCTCTAAGTTTAGGGTTGCATTACCCAAACATGGCTTCACTGCCCCACATGTTGGCTAATGGATATAAAAATCTTTTGGCTATTGCTGTATCAACTGATATTAATTTTAAGGAAGCTGAAAAAGTAATTAATCTATTAAGGCAAAAATTTATATTATTAATATTAGATTAAAGAATATATAAAAGATCCATCTAAATTTGCTGCTCTGGCTCCTAAAGTTGAAGAACCTAAAGAAAAAAAAGAAACTAAAAAGAAGGAGGAAGAAAAGAAAAAAGAAGATTCTGAACATTCAGATGAGGATATGGGCTTAGGATTATTTGATTAAAGATATAATTAATTGTATAACCTGAATAAAAATCCTTATCAAATAAAGTTATTTATGAATTAGTTATTAATTATATTTATAATACGTATGATGAAAAACTTTTTAAAATGCAAATATCTTTCATATGTTTAGAGTTTTCCATGCTAAATCACATCTTCACTTCTCTATTTAAAATTCAATAGAAATTTATTTGAAGATTATAATGTTTGTCACACTTAAAATTCTTGTAAATAATTATTTTTAAAAGGATAATTTATCTAAAAATATATTTTTAATAATTAACATCTTAAATCATTTCCCATTAAATATATTTTATTAATATTTTTTAGAGGTGACCCTATATATCCCACTGTGATAGAAACATTATATGTTAGTTACACTTAAAACTCTTGTAAATAATTATTTTTAATAAGATTTTATAATTTATCTAAAAATATATATTTAATAATTATTAGCATCTTAAATCTTTTCCCATAAAATATAATAGTAGGGGTGTACCTATACCACTTTTTGGAGGCTTATCTGATATTTCCACTGATATTGGTTGATTAATTATCCAATATCATATCTAATTTTGTATTCTATAAAGATACCAATAGTTAATTTTTAATATACTTTTTATTAATCATCTATAATTTAACTATACCATAACTTATGCCATTTAAATATATTATAATGATCAGTTATAGTCTAAATTCAATTGCAATTCTAAAAGTTTATAAAATATTTTTATTGTTAATATTATAAAGATTTCCTTTTAGAAATACCAAAATTTCCAATTTATCAGAGGTCAGCCTGTGGCGATGGTAACTGTCAATATCACCAGCTTCACTAAAACTGATTCTGAAGAGATTATCTCACACTTTTCTTAACAGAATGCACAAAAAAATAATAATATGGCAGAATGTTTATTAATTAATTTTTATTATTAAAAAAATAAACATAAAAATGGATTTCAATTTTATTTATAAAAATCAACGATTTTAGATATAACTTATTTTAAAAAAATTGTAACATTTATTTGTTAAAAACGCCATTTTTTATCGGATCGGAAAATTTTATAATATTGGCCGATAACCGATATTTAAAAATGGGTGAAATATGTGCCCGATCCGATAAAAAATATCTGTACATCCCTATTTAATAATGTATTTATACATTGATTCTATGTAACCCAATATGATAAAAACATCATTTTAATATCTGTTTTATTTTCTGATAGAGGACCTATAAATAAACCCCCTCTGCTTAGGGTTGCATTGAGTATTGTCCCACAAGTTTGTATTTTTTTTATGAATAAGGTATTTTGTCACTATTAAAAGTTTTCTAAAAACCATATGTCTTTGTGTATGATCATTTAAATTGATTGTCTTTCATAAATTTTAAGAATTTCATCTATAATATTGTGCATATTAATAATTCCGCTAACTTCATTCAAAACGGTTATAACTCGGTTACGGTTAGTGATACCGTTATCGGTTTGGAGATTATTAACATACATTTTGAACATAATTGTAAAGTTTCAGAAAAGGATCATATTTACTTTCAGTTTTGGCAAAGTGCCAACACTTTCTTATTTTGCTCATAACTCAATAACGGTTCATTCCGCTGTTTTCTGGATAGAAGATCAATTAACGGGCTACACAATGGTATAGGCGGTAATTGATCCTCAGGTCGTTCCGCCAGTCAAAATTCACACATTCTTTATTTTGTTGATATCTCGCTTCCCTTTTTTTTTAACATTCCGTTTGAAGAATTTGTAGGATCAATTAAGGCACTAAATATTGGCTTTCACTAAAAAATGATTGCTCGAATTTAATATTTTGGCAAAATGCCAAAACCTTTCTATTTTATAACTCATAGGCCGGGTTTATCCTACAAATTATAACCATATCTTCGATAATATATAATAAATATATTTTTTAAATGCATCAATAATTTGTTTTATAATTTAGTAGCTTATTCTCAATGACTTTATAATAATACTATCCAGATAATTTCAATAGTAATAAAATATCCTTCCACAAACATCAAAACCAGAAAAATATAAATATTATTGGGATTTATTTGATATAAAGTCACCACTTATAAGTCTTTTGAACGTATAATCTAAAAATAAATTTTTGTTCTGGGAGGGGTCCAAACCCGAAAACCACCCCCGTAGCTACGCCACTGGTCTGTAGCCTATTGACAAGGGCCTCGATTGCCGATCCGATGGCTTTGGGTTTGATCCAAGCAAAGATCATGTTTTTTTCTTAATCCAACTTGGCGGTTCTGTCCTTGGGGGGGATGATATAGGAGGCCGGACTCGACTAAGTGATTTTGTTATAATATATTGAAATAATAAGTGTCTTTTTATATTTTAATAAATTGTGGTCGGTATTTAGCAAATTAGGTTTGTATTTAAAAAATTGCTATATGATGATTTAGTAGTATCTATCATTAACTCATATTCAGTGCATCTCTACTTTTCGTTCTGGCATTTTATTATTTTGCCAATGTGCTTTTGTTATATCTACCAAACGGATAGAAGCAATAAAATGTACTAAATACACTAATTCTTGTATTTTCAGAATTTTGGCTGACATAAAGTTTAGTTATGCTTACAGTTTTATTTTGCCGAACTGAAGTATGTAACGCACCAAATATTAGCAAAACGATATCTCTTCCGTTCTAGCATGATCAAATTTTGGCAATTATTTTTTTGCCTCTATAAACTATCAACAAATGGAGTTAGGTAATAATGAACGAATTAAGCTCTGTCTGTGTCCTGGTTCTACTTAATTGTTTTTTTAGCCCATATTAGATCTGTGCACCACCGGTATTTTTATTCACGCTGGAAAAGCCGCCGATTGAGATCATCGGCGCGAAGTAATTTTTAGAAAGCATATAAATTACATTTATTATTATTTTAATTTAAATACTAACATTAATAAAATTAAAATATGAATTGTATTCTTTTGCTCTATATAATAGACTAGTGTATATGATTTACATTCATTCATAATCATATTTTATTTCCACAAACAATTCATATTAATTATTTTTATGGACTTGCACGTTTAAATACACCCTATATACAATTATGAAATAACAACTCTCTCTACTAATCATAAATCAAGTTATGTCTGGAGGTACTTTGGAAATCTTATTTTGAAGAATGAAAATAAGAAAAGCACAATGCCTGATTATATTTATTGTGAACCTTGCATAAATTGGCGAAAAAAGATGAGGAAGATTCAAATAAACATAATTCATTTCACAGTAATTTATTTTTATTTATATTTATATATATTTTAGTTATGAAATAAAATGTTTTAGTAAAAATATAAGTACAAGCAATCTATCTCGGCACCTCATCAATTATCACAAACTAACAGAAAAAATTAATAATAATATATCCATTCAATATCTAAAAATGTTTTAAAGCCAACACTAAGATGCAGCTAGTGTTGTTAAACGGCTCGTTTTGAGCCGATTTTTTAAAACGGCTAACTCAATATATTAGCCAGAAAAATTATGCCTAAGCCTCGAGATTTCGTTTATATATGCTTAGATCTTTGTTGCTTCTATGAGCAAAACCTTCAGGTTTGCATAATATTTTTATGGATGGAATAATGAGTTAGCCGTTTTTAAAAATCGGCTCAAAACGAGCAGTTTAACAACACTAGATGCAGCAACAATATTAAAGATAAAATATGGCTCTTAGGTTAGTATTATTGTTTATTATTATTCATTTAAAAATTTTCACTGGTTTGTTAAATTAATTTTATTTTGATATTTCAAAACAACTAAATTTTTAGTTTATTTATTGCCAGTTCTATTTTGAGATTAATTATTATATTTTTTAAATGTCTTTTTAATGTATAAACTTAATATATAATTTATTAAATTAATTATGTAAAACTTTATTTTGAAAGTTAAAACTAAATCAAATTTATAATTTGTTTCATTCCAGCTCTAATTATTTTGATGTTTTTTAAATATCTTTTAAAAGTATTATTTAATATATTAATTTATAATTTATTAAATTAATTTTTTACTTTATTTTAGAAAGTTAAAACTAAATCAAATTTATTATTTATTTCATTCCAGCTCTAATTATTTTGTTTTTTTTAAATATTTTATTAAATTAATTATGAAAAGCTTTATTTTGAAAGTAAAACTAAATCTAATTTATAATTTGTTTCATTGCAGCTCTAATTATTTTGATGTTTTTAAATATCTTTTTAATGTTTAAAATAAATATGAAATCTAATAGGGCGAAATTATGTTTTGATGTGCTGATTAGATTTAATGCCAATGACAGATTTCTAAAAGTTTAAAATTTATATAAAATGATTATTAAAAAATAAATTGCCCAAAAAATAGAAATATAAGATAATTGATTCCTTGTCAGAATTGCCAAATAGGACAACCATTAGTCGGGGTGCACTAGACGATGTTTATTTATCTATAACGGCGTATGTTTTAAATTTGATTGATTCTGGACCAAAATTTTGTTCTATCACTTTTGATTTATGGACCGATCATTTCTAGTGTCGAAATTATATGGCATTTAGTCTTCATCATTTAGATGAAAATTTTGATTTAAAATATTTTACCCTAGAAACTAGAATTGTAACTCTAAAGCATTCTGGGGAAACAATATTATCTGAGATTGATAGTATTGAAGAGGAGTTTCATTTAAAAGCCAAAATAATACAATGGTAACTGATGATGAGGCCAATGTCAAAAGAAGCGTCAGATTAGGGGTTATGAGCATCATTTATGCTTAGGGCATGGACTTCATAATTTGGTTACAGTTGATGGATAAAAAAAAGTTACCAAATTGATATTCTCATTAAAAAAATTATTTGAGCCCTCAGATATCGAGTAGCTGATTTGGAATGTGAAATTGAGGCTGAACATCGTGAATGTGTGCAGTCAATTTATGAGACAGGTAATATCTTGGATATTGATGATTCTGATCCATACCTTGATGACCATTTTTATGTCTGATGAATCGGATTATAGAAAGGGCATTGCACCAAC